TGAGGATGGTGATGTTGGTGAGGATGGTGATGATGGTGATGTTGCTGAGGATGGTGATGATGCTGAGGATCATGATGACGAGTCATGTTGAATCCCACGCCGCAGGAGGAAGCTGTGGTTCTGTTTGTGGATCTTCGACTGTGTGCTGTCAAATCTCTGGATCACGTGGACCGACGCTTCTGCTTTGAGCTGCTCTCCGTCCAGAAGTAAGACAGTGAACACGGCGTTTTCACACCTGTAGGGTCATGTGATATGGCGTTAATTGACCTGTTTGTTTCCAGGTGTTGTGCTCTGCAGGCCGACTCGGAGCAGCTGAAGCAGGCCTGGCTCAGTGCTCTGCAGGGCAGCATCGACCTCGCCTACAGAGAGCGAAGCGACACTCAGCTGACGCAGGCCGGTCCACACCACGACCACGATATACTCACCTCTGAATATTACAGCTAACTCCCCTCCCCCATCCATTTGGCTGACGAGTTCTTCCTCTCTATGTGCAGCCTAAGGAGCTCCCCCCTCTGCATTGTGGCGGGGACGTCTGTCCGGGCCCTCCCGCCCAGAGGCCGGCAGCATTGAGCGTGGCCCTGAGGGGCCTTGGGAACCAGAGGTGCTGTGACTGCGGGGAGGAAGAGCCTCGCTGGGCCTCCATCAACCTGGCAGTCACCATGTGCATCGAGTGCTCGGGCATACACCGGTAACAGCCCAGGTTTCAGGAGGACTTCCTCCTCATTTCTTCTTCACTGCTTTTTAGCAGGTGTCAGGCTTTAATCTCGCCCTTTGATCTTTCATCAACCTTCTCTGTCCACACACAGCCTGTGGGAACCATGAGAAGTACTCACTGGTGTTTGGTGATCTTCATAGTTTACTGTCAGAAGATGAAAACCAGCAACACGTTGGCCGATGTTCTTCTTTCTCTGTGTCTGCAGGAGCCTCGGAGTCCATCTGTCGAAGGTGCGATCTCTCACTCTGGACTCCTGGGAGGCCGAACAGCTGAAGGTAGAAGCGAAACACTCTGCACTGAAGCGAAACACTCCGGCATCATAAAGTGAAGAGCAGACCGTAAAGTGAGGAAGCTGTCAAATATAACGCCACGAGGAGAAACGAGAAAGCTCAAAAATCAGATTTCTGCCTCTGTGTGATCCAAACACCCTGAACTAATAACAAGCCGACAAATCGCTGCTCGGTCATTGAATCATTTCAGGAAATTGCTCTAAACAGTCTCTAAAAGGCAATCAGCTGTTGTGGAAAATAACACAAGAAGTTCCCAGCTTCTCTGGATCTTTATGTTTGAAAACCCACCAAACTGATCCCAGAACAGCCCAAACTGCCTTCACCTGTCCCGAGTCTAACCGGGAGAATCTCACAGTGCTGCTCATGTCTGACGTTGAAAAAAAATCAATGAAGAATCGATCGCAGGCCCAGATTCTAAAATGTGAATGCTCCTCCTCAGCTGCTGTGCGTTCTGGGAAACGATGTGATGAACCAGATCTACGAGGCGCGATGTTCAGAGGAGGGACGAGTCAAGCCCCGAGCCGACAGCCCGCGGTAAAAACACGAGCCGCTGAAAGGAATCGGCTTTGGTTGAACGTGAATGTTGGAAGCAGAGACTCAGCGTCCTGTTTTTCTCCCTTTCAGGGCCGAGAAGGAGGCGTGGATCAAAGAGAAATACGTGGAGAAGAAGTTTGTCCAGGCCAACGGCGCTCGTAAGTCCGACCGTCTGCACATTGTAACTAGAATTTAAGAAGTTTGTTTAAACTGGAACGATACCTTATCAGCACATTCATCACTGCAGTAATCTATTACTTTTACATTTTACTGCTGGATTCGTTCCTGCCGCTGCTCTGAGCCTCACTGCCCCCTGTAACACCTGACCCATCACGCCTCTCTGCTGCAGCACCCGTCTGTTCACTTCCTGTCCCGTGCACGACAGCTGTGTGGTTGGCTTCCTCTGTCAGTGCTCGCATCGGCGTGTTACGGCGTCCTGTTGCGCTTCAGCACTAACTTAAATTTATTGTGTTTAGAAAAAAATGTTTTCTGCGTTTTCTGTTTCAGAGCATCATCGTCATAAGGACTCAGCCATGCTACGTCTCTATCAGGCGTCTTTGGCAGGAGACCTGGTTGCCATGGCGTCCATGTTGGCTGAGGGGGCGGAGGTCAACGGGAGCGTTGGCGAGGAGGAGGGCCGCACGCCGCTGATCGGAGCAGCGATCGGGGTGAGCATGCACAAAGAAGAGGAAATGTTACTGAAGGCACCTTTTATTGATTATTACTCATTAATAACATCACTGACTCCTAACTGACATCATCATCGTTGTTATTAGTGTTATTATCAGTAATATTATTTCTGCACACTGAGCCTTTAGAGAGCTGTGATGTAAACAGAATACAAACTTCGTTGCTGTCACCGTTTCTCTCGGCTGCCTACAGGGGTCGCTGTTGGCGTGCGAGTTCCTGCTGCAGAACGGCGCAAACGTCAATCACAGAGACCTTAGAGGACAGGGGGCGCTGCACGCTGCCGCCACTGCTGGTCACACCGGGTAACCACACGAACACAGACATGCACACACACACGCACACACAGCATGAGCTCGAATCAACGCTGCTGGTTTTAATTGACCGTTGCAGACAGGTGTGCCTGCTGCTGAAGAGAGGAGCCAATCAGTACGCAGTGGACGAGAGAGGTCATGACCCTCTGGCCATCGCCGTGGAAACGGCCAATGCTGACATCGTCACTCTGTGAGTCACTGGAAGTGTTTCCAGCCTTAACATTGTTTCCACGGCATCCTGAAGATCAGAAAAGCCCACTGATGTATGAAAAAGTCGACACGTGACGTTTCACATTTCAGACCGTGACCAGAGTCCAATCATAAAGTTTCTCGTACGTCAAGGGACTGATCTGATTGGTCGAGGCGGGTCTTCAGAGCGCTGTGGAAACACACGACCGATAACGGAGTCTTTCAATTCCTTTGTGAACTCTTTTAACGTGATCATGGCTCGTGTGTTTCAGGCTCCGGATGGCCCGGATGAACGAGGAGATGAGGGATTCGGAGGGAGTCTTCGGCGCCGCGGGTTAGTCGACTCCAACATTTGTCTCACGTTTGTCTTCAGCTGAGAAGAAAGGTGAAACCAGATGGCTGAACGAGCGTCACGCAGAGCTGCTGCAGTCCAAAAATGAAAATAAAGATTATGTCCTTTATCAAAGTTTTGTAGCTAGGTGAAATCTGATTGGTTATTTTAAAGGCGCACTCTTAATGACCGGAGCAGGAACTGTAAGTGTAACTTTTGACGTCACGGAGACGTCAAAACGCTTTGAAAGTTTGTCGGCTTTTCCTCAACTCGACCTTTCAAACCTGTTTCCCTGTGATGCAGAGTCCTGCTGGGCGTGCTCACAGTTTCTGAAATGGTCGCGAACCTTTACCTGAACCTGGGTTAGGTTGGGGTTAACCTGTGAACCTGATTGGCTTATATTTCCTCTGTTGATTGGCTCTTTGGAGGCAGGGGAGAGGCCAGGCCTCCTCCCATGATGTCTCCTGTTAACTTGTGACTGTCGTGTTGTCCTCAGGAGATGATGAGACGTTTCAGGACATCTTCCGGGACTTCAGCGACATGGCGTCACATGACCCGGAGCGACTGAGCCGGCGGCACTTCAGCCGAGGAGGGGCGGAGGAAGAGGAGGAGGGGTAGTGTTGAAAGGATGGAGAGCGGTGACGGTAACAGTGTAAATTATTCTGTCACGAGTACCAGCCCACGCAGGAGGAAGACCTCAGACACCTTCTTCTTGGATTACCGTTGACGGAGAACCGTTACCGACCTTCAGATAACCACGAGTGCAGCTGAAAATATTTCCTCTCATATTAACCTCAGATTATTGAATCTAAATATATTTTATCTGAATAATCACGTCTTAACTCTCATGAGAGGAGATCAATGTTACAGAGGTTTGTCCTCAGTCACGCAACTTTACTTCAGGATGTAGTTACAGCTAGCGCCCCCTGCTGGGCACAGTTAATCGGTTACTAATTTACTGTGAAGACACTGACACGTCCTGAAAAACTTCCAACAGCACTTTATGTCCTCACAATTCAGACAGCGTTCCAGAAAACGTTTCCAGATGTTTCCGCTCCTGCGCCGAAAAATAGGAATCACCGAAAGCTGCAGCGGATCGCTGGGAATGAAGGCGTTTTATGTGTGAAAGGTGTTTGAGCTCTGACAGCTGATGGAGCTACAGCCTCCACCTTTTGTTTTAATCTGTCTCTGTTTGAAAGTCCAAACACTTCACATCCCAGCTTGGTAATAACGAGGAAATACAACAACAGTAACATGTGACCTAACCGCACAGTGAAGGGTAATAACAGACACGTTTTGGTATCGTGGTTTTTAGATGTTTATTAGACTGAAACGTCTTTAATGTAATAACAAATACAACGACGGGGAAACGAGAGACAATATTTTAACACTCTGAAACCCTTTGAACAATAAAATGTTTCATATTTGGAGGTGAATCTTTAATATAGTGACGTTTATGTGCTAACATGTTTTTACATTCTGGGACAAATTCGGATTAAATTGATCCAAAGTTCTCCCTCGTTTGAAGGTCATGTAAATAGTTATTACCTCGAGTCTTCTGCTGTATTTCACAGTAATATTTACAACTGGAACCAGAAAAACGTTTCAGCTGTTACTGTAAATATTTGGCTGTCGTTTCCACGTTTTTACCGAGCTGTGACGGAGCGTGAAGCCGTGATGAGCTTCGCTGAAAGTCTGATGTACGGTGGGAGGAAGAAGAAGCGTCAGGGTTGAATTTAATAACCTCCCTTAATGCCCCGAGTTTAACAGTGTGTCCAAAAGGGATTTCAGACTTTTGCTGCTCATCTGTTTTTGAGTGTTAGTGTGAATGAACGAGGCCGCGAGGCTCGTCTCTGACTGAATGTTTGACACAGCAGGACGCGTCGAATCACGCAGATGACGCCGTTCGTTACTGCTGTGATGCTACTGCTCAATAAAACCACTGAAGAAGAGTCTCTGATGTTTGTTCTCACCAATCACGCGGCACTTTGAGCTCCAGCTGTTTGAAACATACAGTTTGCTACAGTAATTCATACCTGTGGATTTCACAAGCTCCGCCCACCGTCTGCGCACCTGCGAGCACAGATGTAAAAAATAATATGCTTTCTGTTTGTTGTTCTCTGAAAAACATTTAAAAATTAAACATCCAAACATGAGCCCATGAGTGGAAATAAAAACCAGGGCGGGACTAAAACTTTACCTGAATGAAGGGGTGTGGCCTAACATTTCAAAATGTCTGTTTTTTTGTTTTAAATAAAGTCTGATGTTTCTGATGGGCTGAGTGAACATTTCATTTATTAAGAGCACGCTCAGTGTGAAGTCACAGGCCTGTTCACAGCTGGGAGGGGTCTGTTGTTATTTACATGTCACAGTAAACTGGGGCTGTTTGTTTCAGCCAATCACAAACAAATGCTGCTGACTCAGGACTTTTGCACAGTACTGTAGTTCATCCCATGTTTCCATCAGACACTGAAAACAAGTTCTGTGTGCTGCTCAGACCTGCAGCTGCTGCCAGTGAACGCACCTTTAATAGGGGCAGCTCGGGCTGCGTTCACTGACCGATGAGCCACACGCAGCTCTGACCCTGAGTGGGTCACACGGGTAGATTTATCGCTTAAAAACCTCAAATTGAGTTCCTGAAATCCTGAAAACAGGAAGTTTTTCATGCCTGTTATTTAAATGGTCTGGGTAATATTTGTTAGCATTAAGGCTGTGAACCCTGACAGGTCAGAGGGACAAAACTGAAAAACTGGAAGCCCTCCTTTCCCCCCACATTCTTATCCACTGGGCCGCATGTTTGAGCGCCCTGCACAGAATTACAACTGGATTGTTTTTCCACCGTTTTCTCTGCTGCAGTTTTTCCTCAGGAGCTGAGATGCTCCGTCAGCACATTTAACTTCTTTGATCAGACACAGGAAGCAGAAACTCCTTTAATCATAATTACACGTGTATTTTCAATAATTACAATCATAAAAAACCACAAAGACCTTTTAGAGCACTCATACATTTGTCTCCCCAGGCAGACGCAGACTCTACCTGTTCACAGGTGAGAAACATCTACCCAGTACCTGAAGCTTTTCAAAATAAAAGGCCTCCAGTCTGAATAAACGCTGCTTACAAGCCCCCAGCTACGGCGGTTAAACGTCCCACTGTCCTCTAAAACCTCAAATGCCTCTCAGTCCTGTGCCTTCTTCCTCTTCTTCGTTGTCTCTTTGTCTTCTGTCGTTTTCCTCTTCTGCCTCTCCTCCACCTGCTCCATAGCGTCCCACACATCATCACCTTCGTCTTCCTCCTCCTTTACCTCAGACTCCGCCTCCCCTGCAGTTGCCCCTCCCTCCTGCAGGTCTTGGCTGGCGAGCAGGAGGCAGTTGAGACGGGACTTGAGGTAGACTTTGTGCTGCAGTTTGCGGTCCTCCAGGCTGTGGATGCGCAGGAAGCGGTCCAGGCCGCAAGACGCCACCAACGGCTGGGAGGCGTGGCACTGAAGCCCCCTCACGCCGCCCGCCAGCCCCTTGACACAGCCACGCACCAGGCCCTTCCTCAGGTCCAGCAGGGCGATGTGACCCTGGGTGTTGCCCACCGCCACCGCTGTGCCGTCAGGCGTCAGAGAGATAGCGGTGAGCGGGTACTCGCCGTACTCCACCTCCAGGACAGGACGCCTCTGAGGAGACGAGGGGTCGAACACGTGCACCTGAGAGAGAGTTTCAACATAACTTTATTAAAAAAAAAAAAAACAAAGCAGGTCATCAATTGACAGATTTAAACTTTATTTTCTGCTGCTTAATTATTATTATTGTATTTGTTTTTACACCTAAAAGCATTTTTTCCACTGATCAAGAATCAACACCGAGGATACTAAAGACCTCAAAGGGAAATCACTATTATTGTTTCTTTTTTAGAAACACTTTAGAAATTATCCACAACTTTAACTTCAGTTGTGTTGTTTTTGTCTTAATAATTTTATGGAATATCCCTTTAAACTTGTAAACCTGGAGGAAATTTTAAAGATCATAAATGTAGAGAGAAGAGAAAGTAAACCTTAAATCAAACACCTTCTGAATGGAGAGAAAACTGATGAGGAATCGGTCCGAAACCAAACTGACGATGGCTTTGATAATAAAATCATCCATAATTTTAGCCTTAGTTTGTTTTACTCAGACAGTTTGTTGTTGTCCTTTAATATTGCTCAAATGTTAGCCGACTTAAAGAAAAAAATATAATACATGTAGAGAGCTGAGGATTTACACGAGCTTTAATTTTGTCATAGACTTAAGAAAATTTAAAATTAAACACTTTTTGAACGGAGTCTGGTCTGACTTTTGAGCCAATTCTGAGCCAGACGAACGTTTACAGATCACACAAACCAGATGTTTGTGATAAGCTTGACCTTTAACCCGGGCCAAAGTAAACTTTAAATGGGTCTTCTTTAAAAACACGTTTTGTCCTGCTGAGGGTGAGTCACAGCTACACACCTGGTGGTAACCCGTGCAGGTGACCACTTTGTCGGAGTCCCGGATGAAGGCCATGTCCCGGACCCAGTAGGGCCGCCGGAGGTCCAGCCAGTCGTCCCGGAGGTTCTTGGCGCTGAACGCGGGCTGCTCGGGCCTCTGGAGGTCCCAGATCTTCAGGCCGTTCTCCTTCCCTCCGGTGGCCACCTTGTTTGGGTTCGCCGGGCTCTGCCGCATCCTGCACACGTTCTTCCCGGCGTCCACCTGTGTCACGGGCTCGTCGCCGCCCTCTTGCCTCCACACGCGCAGCGCGCCGCTCTCCGCGCAGGTGACCAGTGCGTCGCCGCCCAGCGCCGCTAGCCCGGAGAAGCAGCCCTCCGCCGGGTCCCCGCAGCGCCGGCTCTCGGTGAACGCGCCCTTCTCCAAGCTGAACGTCTTCACGGTGGCGTCCACGCAGCCCACCAGCAGCTCGCTCTCCGCCGCGTCCCCCCAGCACAGCGCGCGGACCTCCTGGTCTCGGCTCAGGTGGCTCGTGTTGCAGAAGTTGAAGGCCTGTTTCCGGGACAGGCTGACCCCCTTCAGGATCCCGGTCTCCGAGCCGAGCCACACGGAGCACAACTGGCTCCGGTCCCCCATCACACCGGACTCACACACACCAAACCAGCCGAAAAAAACAGGACAGCTCCGGGTCCGCGTGGATCTTCTGTAGACTGTGGCGCGTGTCTAAGTCGTCACACTACAGCTGGAGTTTGTAACAGACGGTGTCACGCGGTTCAAAGCTAAGAAAAACTTTCGGCAGTACAATTAAAATCAAAACAGTATAAATAAAAATACTTACACGACCAATGTTCTGGTATTGTTTTTTCTACAATCATTTGTCATACTAATAAAGTTTATTTTTTCCAAAAAGACAGTTTACGTCATTAGGAAGCGACCGATCCCTTTGCGCATGCTCATATGATGCAGGTAGTCACCATTTTGGCTGTGTGGGCTAGCAGAGGCTAGCTGTGGGTGTAATCTTCCTCAGACCGTCGTTACTTCGTTCAGGTTTATTTCTTCCAGTGGACAGAGGGGGGTTTCCGCCCTCAAGCCCAAACTCAAAGCTTTCTTCGTCGGGGAAATGGACGGAGAGGAGGACGATCTAATGTCCGGGAACCGCTCCGGTAACGCTTATGCTTTGTTTCCTATTTAAACGACTAACAGGACAGTACTGACCAACTGTAGTAGCTAACTGAATACTAACTGAATTCGAGCACCATGAGCGCGTCCTAGATAAACATGATGCAGAGGTGGGTTGTGATCACGCGGAGGGATCGTTGTTTGTGTTTCAGGGTTAGCGACAGCATCAGCGCCAGTTTCCAGGAAACATGTCTCAGGCAAACATCTCCTGAGCTCTCCGTCACATTTACCTCCAAAAGACTGAAACACGCGGTGATATTTCAACGTTATATCCGTGGAGGAAACCAGCGGAGCCATCCAACACGAACCCGGCAGAAAGCGGCCTTCCACCGAGCCAAGCTAAACCATCAGTGTTTGTTGGCCTGATTACATAACAAACGTTTCATAATCAATATAACCGGTTAGACATGATACACCAAAGAGAGCCGAATCAATACGAAAGCCTTAAAGATGAAGTCTGCTCATGTAGGTGGACTTTATGATGAATTGTCACGCGGTTAGCCATGAACCTAAAATTAGTCACTTTTAAAGTGAAGTTTGGCGAGCAGCTGCAGAGGATCCAAGTGTTTGTTTTTGAGCTGTTTACAGACCAGCTGATGACATCGTGTGATCATTACGGAGACTTTTTAACACTAGAAACGTTTCCTAAGCTGTAGCCTGTTTGACCGTTAATGTACAGAACGGTGGATATTCTGATGTGACTGTAGTGTAATCTTCTACTTCTCACTGCTGCTGTCATATGTTCTATCCAGTCCTAATAAGCCGTGATCCTTGAAAAGCACGATTATTTCTTTGAAAGGCAGTTTATCGAAGGGAATGCAGAGAAAGCTGTTGTGTAGTTTTCATTCAGTTTTACTTTGGCAGCTTGGTAAAGTTACTGCATACTTTTTGCAGCTCCTATAAATGCTTTTAAAAAGGACTGAATTTAACATGAATGTTCCGGATGTGTTCTTGTAGATGATGGAGGCGGCACGCCGGTTCAGGATGAACACCCAGCATCAGATGGCGAGGAGATGAGGAGCGCCGGGCGCCGCTCTGAGGTCAGACTTCATCTCATTGATTCTGCAGATAATTCATTGACATCAGTTTTCAAACGTTTATTCTGAGCAGTTTCGTCTTTGCATTTTAAGTAGTGCCTGAAATTCATACTTCAAATCAGGCGGATTTACACGGACATGGACAGCTGATCTTCCATGTTTGGACCCGTGTGGGATGAGCTCTATGTATGATATTATGAGAGTGTTGTTTTCCCAGCATGTCAGTGATTGATCAGTACCGGAGCTGAAAGAGTCACAGGTTAGAGAGACAGATGTTGCAACAGCTGGAAAACATGAGGTCGACACATGGATTGGTGCTGCAGCTGCAGTGATGTGGACGCTGTCAGTATTTGTTACGTTTGCTGGAACAATGGCGGCTCCGGTCTGTTCGGACTGTAAATATGACAAACACCGTCTGCAGACCGCCGTGATCGGGCTGATAAACTTTCTTTGTTTTTGTCAGGACGAGGGCAGCAACGACGAGGACGACGCCATGGTGACAGGTGGCGGGGCCAGCGGCTCTGACAACGAGGACTGCCGCAGGGCCGACAGCGACTCGGAGGGCGAGGGCCCCGGGGGCCGTGATGACAAAAGTGACTCTGAGGCGGAGGCGCCGAGGCCCGCCGACAGCGACGATGAGGATGGCTCATCTTCAGTGAAACGCAGGGTGAGCGCGTCCGAGGAGGAGGAGTCGCCGCCAGAGAAACGCAGGACGAGCGGCTCAGATAACGAGGCCTCATCGCCGCTCAAACACGGAGCATCTGACAACGAGGAGGGGGCGTCCCCGCCGCCCAAGCGGAGAGGGAGCAGCTCGGATGTGGAGGAGCGGCCCAAAGCGGCGGCAGAAAGCGATTCTGACAACGAGGATGCCAAAGCCGCGGCGTCCCCAGAGCGCCGCTCCAATGCTGACAGTGACTCTGACACAGAGACGCCTGCCAGACGCAAGGCGGCGCAGATAGACTCGGATGAGGAGGAGAAACGGGAGGAGGAAGGAGGAGGGGAGAAGTGGAAGGGGGTCATGCAGTCAGACAGCGAGGAGGAGGAAGAGGAAGGGCGGAGGAAGACTGCAGCAGGAAGTGATGGAGAGCAGCAGGAGGAAGAGGAGAGGCAGCAGAGAGGTGACAGCGACGAGGACGACGAGAAGCCAGGTACGCGCGTGAAGTTTAGAAGAAACACAAAAAGTGTTTCTAAGGAAAGAGCTCGAAAGCACCAAGAAAAGGAAAAAACACTCCTTTCCTATTGGTGGAAAAATGTACCATGTCGACCAATCAAGAAATGATATGACAACATGGTATTTGGTTGTTTAGGAAGAAGGCGGAGTTTTAGGAGTGACGGCGGTGAGAGATTTGTGACGTTTAGCGTGTTTGGAGTGTGTAGTTTTGTTGTGTGTCAGAACAATGAGGTGACTGCTGAACGCCACAGTTTTGCCAAAAAAAGACAGATTACAGTGTAAACACTGGAGTGACACAGCTGCAGGTGGCGTTCTCCTGCATCGTGCGGTGGACACAGACACAAATCATTTGTGACATCTTAATGAAAACACCGTGGCTGCATTTTAGGTAAATAGCTGCAAAGGTTTTAAAAATGTCCGATTTATATTTCGAGTTATGAAAGTGATCCGTTAACCATGTTTGTGGTGGTTACAGGTTGCGAGGTTGAACAGGATGAAACGAGGCGAGATGCTTTTAAAGTCTGCGCTCTGAGAGGGTTCAACTTTTTTTGTTTTGGTTTTTTTAATAATGCAATAGTTACTTTTCCTAGTAATTAGTTACTGTGATAATATAGTAACTCAGTTACTTTTTTCAAGAAGTAACTATAAGTAATTACTTTTTCAAAGTAACTTTCCCAACACTGTCCGGGTTTGCGAGGTAAACGTCGCCGCTGTCGTGAAGCAAGTCTGTGGTAAGGTGTACCCGTCCAGCAGGGCCACAGAGATCACACACGCCGGCTTCACCGACTAAAGAACATGTGATCACTTTTAGTAATGGTAAACACGTTCTCTCACAGACTTTCCTTTGGCGTGCTGCTCGTTGTGTTCGTGGTCAGACGGAGACGGAGTCACCCGCCACGTTCGCCGGTTCTGTTAATATTTCAGTTCCGTTTTAGATGCTGTGTGAGTAACCAGTGAGCTTTGTGTTTGCAGTGAAGAGGAAGAAGGCCATCCTGTCCGACAGCGAGGACGAGGACGAGGAGAAGGCGGAGAAACCAGGTAACGCAGACCTGACGGCTGGAGCAGGATCTTTGTTTGGATTCTCTGCTGAAAGTAAAAGTTGATGCTGCGAGGCAAAGCAGCGCTGTTGTGTGACGTTTGTCGCTCTCGACGGTCTCCTCAGTGGCGAAGAGGAACCGGGCGGTGTCGGACGACGAGAACTCAGACAGTGACGCCGACTTCGGGGGTCCCGATAAAAGTTTGGCCGCCAAATTGAGAGAGCTCGGCTCAGACAGCGAGAGCGAGGAGGACGACCGAGCAAAGGCGGCGGGGAACAAGGACGAGAAAGCGCTGTTTGGCAGCGACAGCGACTCCGGAGAAGACCAGGAGGAGTGAGTGCTGACGTGGAAACACCTCGCAGAAAACTCAAACCCCCCTACAGGACAGCCTGAGGGATGCAGCTACCACCCCTGCAAGAAGACACATGCAGAGTTTTCATTTCAAAATAAAGAGTTTAATTCTGTGGCTGCCAGGAGCTGATGTGCCTGTTCTGTTGCAGGAAGATGATCGCAGACATCTTTGGCGAGTCTGGAGATGAGGAGGAGTTCACGGTAAGCCTCGATGTCGCGTCTCCGTTCAAAGACAAAAGCGAGATCAGCCGCGAGCAGTTCCCGTTTCACAAACTGTCGTCCTGCAGGGTTTCAACCAGGAGGACCTGGAGGGCGACGGCAAGGCGAAGCAGAAGGTGCAGGCGGAGGAGGAGTCAGACTCTGACGAGGGCGTCGACCGCAGCGGCCAAGAGTGAGTCTGCTGATCAGCAACACGATTTTAAACAAGCGTTGTTGTTTCTGCTATTAAGTGTGTGTGTGTGTGTGTGTGTGTGTGTGTGTGTGTGTGTGTGTGGCACCAGCATGATGTCAGACTTCGACATCATGCTCGCCCGGAGGAAAGCCATGAACAGCAAGAAGAGGCGGCACCGCGATGGAGGCACGTTCATCAGCGACGCCGACGACGTGGTCAACGCCATGATCACCAAGATGAACGAGGCTGCGGAGGTGCGCACGCTGCTCTCGCCCCGTCAAAATAAAAGCCTCACAAATCTCTGAGCTGTGATCCTCACCGACTCTGTGCATTTGTTTTTATTTGCAGGAAGATCGAGCTCTGAACAGCCAGAAGAAACCAGCGCTGAAGAAGCTCATGCTGCTGCCGCAGGTCGTCATGCACCTGAAGAAGTAAGAGCTCCGTGTTAGCTTATAGTTGAAGGCTTACGTGCTGAGACCAGCGCCAAAAAAAAGCAGGTCCTTCTCCTCCGTGACTGCATTGAAGACTCTTATCGTTTGTCCCTCAGGCAGGACTTGAAGGAGACATTCATCGACAGCGGCGTGATGTCGGCCATTAAAGAGTGGATCAGCCCTCTTCCTGACAAATCTCTGCCCGCTCTCAGGATCAGAGAGGAGCTGCTCAGGATACTGCAGGAGGTGAGCGCTGAACGCGGCGCGTCGTTCTTCAGCTGCGTCTCTAAGATTCAGTCGTTCATGGTGTGTTTCGTCCTGCAGCTGCCCAGCGTGAGTCAGGAGACGCTGAAGCACAGCGGCATCGGGCGGGCCGTCATGTTCCTGTACAAACATCCCAAAGAGTCTCGAGCCAACAAAGACCTCGCTCTCAAACTCATCAGTAAGGCCAAGCTCCTTTTCTGTAGTTTCCCTGTCTGGCCGTGGAGGCCGCAGTTTCTGAACTCTTTCTCATCTCCAGACGAGTGGTCGCGGCCGATCTTCGGTCTGACGTCGAACTATAAGGGGATGACGAGAGAGGAGCGGCAGCAGAGAGATCTGGATCAGCAGATGCCTCAGAGACGGCGCCTAAGGTAACGATGATCGCAACGTCACCCAGACGACACTAACGTTCTTGTTTCTGCTTCATATCTGCAGCGATTTAAGTTTTATTTACATTATTCATAAAATTACTCATATTTGACTTTATTAGAATCGCTGTCAGCCGTCGTTAGGTTTCAGACCTTTTCCACAGCGAGTCGTCCGAACCATGCAGTAGCTACAATACTGACCGACCCCCCCGGGCTGATGTCTGCTCTGTTTTCAGCGTCCTCTTCCTGTCATGTGATGATGTTTGTCTCTCACCTGAGAACAGTTTAACCCTCATTCTCCATCTTCTGCTTGTGTCAGAGTGTATCAGGTGTTTTGTACAGGTGGAAACCCCGCCCCCCCCAGTGTGTTTGCTATATCTGTGCGCCGCATTCCCACCGCTGTTCACTCTAAAGTCACTCAGCACGGCTTTACCTGAAACCCATTTGAAAGCTTCGCCTTTCTCGATCTTCTCTTTGAATATTGTGAGATGATTTCTAAAGGTCGTAGTTAGCGTGAGGCGTAGTTTTTCCTCTTTCACTCCTCTTCCTCCGTCTCACCCCCAGTCAGCCTCAGAAGGTGGAGAGGGCAGAGGAACCTGATGTCTTTTCTCCACCAACCAGGTTCAGTCCTGACGTTGCATGGTTGCACTGAGTGACCAGGTTTACCTTCTTTAACGCGTCTCTGCAGGTTTTACATCCCTCTGTCTAAAGCTTAGTAACTCCTCAGATACCCACAGCAGCACCAAAGTGACCAGAATGAATCCCTGAGACTTAAATGACTTCATGAGTGCAGCTGCACGATCTAAAGGTGACCCGTTCTGCTCATTTCCAGCTCCTTTTTCATTCTTGGACTCTAATAGAGTCTGTTTGCATAATTTGCAGTATAAAATAAGCCTCCTCTAAGTATCCTCTGATTGGCTGCTCCTCACAAACAGGTGGGTGGAGCTTGTGAGATGAAGCAGAATTGGCCGGTTTGAATACTTTGCATTTATTTCAGAGTGATTCAACTAAAGACAACGACTGAAGCTGAGATTTTATATTTGATTCAAGCCCTTCTTGTAACTCTGTTTTTACCACCTCCACTCTGAGCTCATCTAGCTATCAAAATAAGTCAGCTTAGAAACGCTAACATTAGCTTGGGCGCATTTCAGGCGGACTGGATGCCACCCGGTGGTTGAAACTGGTACTGCACCGGAGTGGAGGACTGCCTTATTTCAGCTTCGGTCCATATCTGCGACACAAACTAATACAGTCACAGCTGCTGATACTTTTAATATCCACTGTAGACATTAGGGGGCGCTGCTGCACAGAGGGGTTAAACAGAGCAGAGACTGGAGCCTGTTTCTGTAACGGCAGTGTTAGCCGTGTGTGTTTTACTGCCCTAACGATGTGGAGCTCGGGCAGGGCTGAGTTTGTTCCGTGCGGGAAGTTTTGGCGCCGACTAACTCCCTTGGAGTGACGTGCTGCTAACAGCATGGAGGCTCAGCCGGTGAAGAACATCGCTCAGAAACCTGCGAGGTGCGGCGGAGCTACTTCACACTCGAAGTTGAATTCGTGTCTTCTTCTTCTGTTTGTAGTTCTGGAGGTCAGACGCCTCGCAGAGACCTGGAGAAGCAGCTGACCGGAGAGGAGAAGTAAGTTCTCAGACATCTGGGGGCGGGATTTGTCATAACTTCCTCCTCTGTCGTCTGGAATTTTGTGCCGTGTTTAAATTCCACCCTCATTAACCTGAACGCCTGCTCCCAACAGAGCTCTGCGGCCCGGAGACCCCGGGTTCTGCGCCCGGGCTCGAGTCCCGATGCCCTCGAACAAAGACTACGTGGTTCGGCCCAAATGGAACGTGGAGGGGGACTCCAGCAGGGTGAGTGGTCACACGGGCCGATGGCGTGTGCTTCAGGGCGTGGCTACACTTCAACTAAACAGCAGAGCGCCCCCTTTAGGCACAGTCCTATGAAATATCCAGAGTTGAACATTTGGTTTCAGTTTTTTCGTAATTGAGTCAAACAAATTATTTACTCACGATTTACAAAATGAATCACAAATCCAAAATTCCAAAATTAAACAAATATATTTTAAACCTCTCTAAGAGCAAACGCGTTTTTAAAGAAAAAACAATCCGAATAACAATAAAGAACTTTTATATAAACAGTCAGTTTTCTGAAGTTTAAATAAAGTTGAAACAAACACTTCAACACTTTTGTGCTGGAACAGACATCGGGTTATTTTCTGCTTCTATTTGATTGTAAAGCTCTGAAAGAGGAGTTTACCTGCTGTCAGGTCAGGAGCTGAGCTGTGATTGGTCCTTTGTAGAGCGGCTGTAAGAAGGCCATCAGCCTGCTGGAGAAGCACAAACGGCGTTTCGCCGAGCAGAGAAAATTGGGGCGGCCGCAGGGAGCTGTGAAGATCAGCATAGAGGGAAACAGAATGCCCCTGTAGCTCCCCTGCTCCCCTGCAGGGGGCAGTAAGTCTGTCTGCATGGTGTGAAGAGCCTGACTCACCGGCAGTGTGCAGACGTACAGTGGAGGCAAAGTTATCCAACCCCCAAACAGAGTTCACTGAACACAGCGAAGAGCACACGATCGATCACACTTCAGTCATTCAGACCTCTAACGTCAGACCAATCACTGATAAACCTTCTGATCGTGTCATAACCAACGGACAAAACCGTAATGTACTCAGAGGTCATATGACTTCATACGCAGTGCCCGGGGTTGAATCATTTTCCTTCCTGCTGTATGAACACATGAACATCTCTGCTGCAGCCGTCGAGCACCTCTGAGCCTAATAAACACCAAACTCATGCACTAGAGAGAGATAATCACTAAGAGACGGGAAGTAACGTTCCACAGGTGAGAAGGTGTGCAGTGTGTGGGACAGTGTACCTGTAATTTGCATGGCTTCATTAAATAAAATACATTTACTGTAGAAATGAGTCAGCTGACCCGGAGGAAGAAATGTTTTCACTTTGATATGGAATCAGCCACACGTCCAGCAGCAGGCTTCCAGAAGCTGTCCAATCAGAAGCAAATAGATGTTCAGGGAGGAGGGGAGTTAAAGCAGCTTGTTTCACACAGAGCGAGGGGGCAGAATGAGACAAAGCTTATTTTGAACTGTAAATGGTCTTTAGGAACAGTCTTCCCATCTGATGGCTCTGAACGAGGTGTTTGTGAAACATCTTCCTGCATGAGCAGTGAAGTGTGCGAAACAAACCGGTTGTCTTTGTGTTGTTACCTCAGTGTGTGATTACAAGATGTAAATCCTGTAACTTCCTGTTCTGTGTGTCTGTCTGCCTCCAGGGTCCGGTGAGGAAGAGTTTGTCCCGTGTTGATAAACAGATGCGTAGATTTGCTGACATCCGGCGCCTGACGAAGACGGGTCACGCTGTTAAAATCAGCGTGGAAGGCAATCGAATGCCACTCTGATTCATTTTTTTTCTGCTCTAAACTCAGTAGGATTTATCGTTTTTACTTTTTATTGTTTTGTTTCTGAACAAACCCGCAGCTTTGCCCTCCTCAGGTCCAGCTCTGCCTTACTGAAAAAAGGGGCTGTTGTCAGACCGTGTTGGCTTCAGTTCAAATGTGTTATCTGCTGTAAACTTGTCTGTCCTCTGAACAAAACGCATGAAAGACTCCAAAATGATCCAAAAATAACGTTTCCTAATGCTAACAGTTTAATTATTCGCTTTATTGTTCAACTTGTGTTAGCAGTTAGCTTGATTAGCTTGACCTGAAAATCAGCGATAGTCGCAGTGTTAACAAATACTGGCATCACATAGTCTTTTCTTTTCTGTTTTTTTTATTTTTGTTTATTATTGGCAGCATTTTTATCTCAAAGTCTAAAATGTTAGCGAGTGTTTGTATTTCTTTAAAATGAAGCTGTTATTTATGATGATGTTGTATCAAAAGCTGAGTCATGTTAGCAGTCATCTACATTTGCTATGCTACGGAGCTAATAAAATCTGTAAAAATAGCCTACTGTTTTAGTTTTACCTCGGCTCAGAGTGAGTTGGCTGTAAAGCTAGCATAACAAAAATTATGTTATTGTTAGCAATCTACATTAGCTTTGTCTTGAAAAAAAAAAAGTGCAGCAATAGCTTATATTAGCTAGCTATGTTAGCCTTATGTCAAAACTATTAAGGTCTGTAAGCCTTCTAAGCCAACATTCATGTTTATCTATATGCTAACAGTGAATATTGAACTATGGCCACATATTATTATCAGCCCTGTCACTTTACTTTCTTGTGTTCTTTTGAGTAGAACATCGTTGTTCGCCTTTAAATTGGTGGTGATGCACGGTTCATTGGGCGGAGTTAGTGATCACATGTTTTAAAGTAAACCATAATAGTTTCTAGCTATCAATAATGCAGACATCAGTAATTTAAGCTAATGCTATAAACCTTAATTCTAAGGAATGGTTAACATAGATAACTTCAAAGTGAAACTAACATCAAAGCCATTTTAGCTTTGTTAACTGGTTGTTTTGGTAGCTAGCATTGAGCTACATCAGAAAAAACAAATTAATTAAACAAATGCTATCATATAGAGGTGACAGCTATTTTTAGCTGTCAGCAAATTACACTGTTATTATCTTAGCTGGTTTGGAGGTGAAGCTCATTTTATTTATATTTATCTCTTAGCCCAGTTTTGGAAGTTAGCATGATAGCACTGGCCTTAGGTAAAGCTAATTTAACAAAGGCACTGATTTTTGAAGGTAGCATTGCAGATAAAATGTTGATTTTAAGCGTTTGAGCATTTTTGGCTATCATTAGCATAATGTCATCTGATTTAACTGGCTGAGTTCTTAACAATAGCTAATGTTAGCTGTGAGCTAGCATTGTCCTAAACATCTGTATTCTTATGTAATCTTCAAGCCATTTGCCTACATTTAAAGACTAAATTGCTCTGTGGTATTAGCTTGTATTAGTAGTTAGCTTGTTTTCTTTCTTTCTTTTTTTTAATATATTTTGTAAACTGCCATGCTGACAGAGTTGCTGGGTTAAAGATGAACGTGTTGTGTAATCAGAGGATCATTTTGGAGTTTCTTGTCCAGAGTACATTCAAGTTCTCTGGTTTGGATTTGAGGGTGAAGTCTCGTCTGCGCTCCCCGTCTCTGAATGTGAAGGTGTTTGTATTTTGCTGATAGTCTGGTCCATTATCTCCCTTCTCTGCTCCCATAGCAGCTGTACAGAAGTCCTCGGTGGATGAGTTCACACAAGAAATGCCGGGACTCTGATTGATCCGGATCATTCGTGGATTGTGTGAACCAGCCGTTCTGTGTGCACTGTTCTGGATCACATGATCTTTTCTTAATAAAGACTCAACAAAAACTCACCTGGCTGTACGCATGTTTATTTCTGGGAGCATGGGGAGGGACTTACTGGTGGAGCCTCTAGTGGACATTAGTGGAACTGTAGCCTTTAGCACATGATCTAAAATCCTCAAGGGGTTGAAAAAGAGAAAAAATCAGTCACACTCAGAACTTCATTGTCATTTTCTTTTTATTAAGCACAGTTAAACTCGGGCAGGAAGAAGCACATCAGAACAGAATCAGTGAGCAGGACGGTTTCCACTGCAGCGCCACTCGGACGCTTAAACCTGTTTTTGGACTATTATTTTATTTTTTTCTCATTTCAAGTTTACAAACTTTAGATGTGTTACCGTCATAGATGGTATAAAACATGGACATAGTTTCCTGGTGAGGAAAATAAAGCTAATCCAGGAGAGTTAAACCTGCATTCTATCAAAAAGCCACCAGGTGGCGACTGCTGCAGTTGCAAAAAGACTTCCAGTGCTGTAGAAGCTTGACCTCTGTAAACACTTTGCTGCTGATGGACTCAGTCACTCATCTTGGGTCATATTGAACAGGAAGTCTGCTTTGCGACTAAGGTGTTGATGATGAAAATGCTAATCTCATGACTTTGAGATGACGTAACAGTAGCTTTGTCCACTGTTTACGGTCGCAGTAGAAATGTGCCGTTGCTGTGGAAACAGTCCTGCGGCACAACTCTGAGACAAACGTGCAAGGACGAAACTCGATTGGTGTTGGACGATTGCGAGGGCAGTCGAGGCAACAACGCCTCCAGTCAGGGTCCCAACAGCAGGAGGAGCCGGCGATGGTGCATTCAGGTGACACTCGGAAAACTGCAGCATTATTGTTCCCTAACACTAATCCTAATGAGGTTAAAATGTTCAAACTCTAACCTTTAATTTTTTTAATTATATATTAAATGCAAAGAATCAAAAAGATGAAAAAGTTTATAAATGAAAAAACTCAAAACATCCAAATTATTCTTATTATAGTCAAAGTTGCTCGATTCTGATGATTTGATCTTTCTGAGATCAGGCTCTGATTTTATCCAAATACAAATTTTGAAGTTGTAACATATTTATTTCTTAATAAATCTGAAATCAAAGCTTCTCATTGGTGGAAACTAATAAGTATATTTAATCTCACACGTCAGGATATTTGTTGGTGCTGCTAATTCGAGATTTGCTCACATTACAGATTTCACCTTGATTAAATTCAGTATTTTAAAAAAGTTTTATTTATCTGTAAGTTTTACAGGTAAATAAAATGATTGTTAAAACGAGTTGCCATGGAAGCAAATCGCAGGTGTTGTTGAAATCACTTCCTCTCTATGTGTGCCGACTTTACGGAGCTGCATTTGAACGCATCATTGAACAGTCATGCTTTGTGTTGGGCTGTCCAGGTGAAGTGAGGGTGTCAGGTTTGCTGTCCAGGTGAAGTGAGGGTGTCAGGTGGGCGTGTCCAGGTGAAGTGAGGGTGGGCGTGGTTCAGCAGGTGATTGGCGGTTTCATGCATCTGTAGAGATAAATGACCATTTTAGTGTTTTTACTGATACTTTTATGAAAATGAGTCACATGCAGTTCTGCACCTGTCCAGTGAGAGCGCTGTGGAGAGAGGGTGGGCTTTCAGACGGAGGGGATGTGGCCTACCCTCTGCCGTTTGGCAGACGACCCATCCCGATTCTGTCAATGGGCGGTGGATTGAGTCGTCGCCGTGGCGACTCCACCACCTTACTGCAGACAGAAGAACATGGAGGCGTTAGACTCATCCCTGCGTCTCAGGTGTTCTCAGGTATTCTCACAGGTGACTACCTCTGCTTGTCTGACCCTTGCTGCTTCGTTTCCATGGAGCTGATGGACAGGCGGTCCAGCGGGACGTTGTTGATGGGAAAGCTCCTCTTCCTCTTTGGCTCCATGACATCATTTTCCATCCTCATCAGGTGATCCGATTGGAGCAGTTTTGCCGTCAGCTCCTCCCCCACCTTCACACCTACAGGGCGGGACTGAGGGGCTGCATGAAATCTCAAAATGGGCTGGTCTACCTGCTGGATCAGATAAAGGCGTAACAAGTTTATCTACTGAAAATGAGGAGAGTATGAGAGGATGTGTGAAATTACCCGGGATAAGGCTTAGAGCTGAAGGTTTTGTACATGATATCCAAGGAAAGGAGTGTGAGTCTGATCCAGTGCTTCCTGTCCAGTTTTAAGGACTTCCTGTCCTGAACCCGTATGCCTCCTGATTACTGGGAACTTTGGTCTGCTGATAAAAACGTAAATCAAGGGGATGCTGTGAAAAGCCTCCGACGCCGCCTCCATCTTTATTTTCAATGAGGGAGTCTCCGTATGGAAAACACTGAACTGTGTTTTTGTATGTTACGCCTCCACACTGAAGCCTGTCTCTCACGCCACGGCCCCGGCAGCGAGCGGTGTCTCACTTCCTGTCCGCCTGCTGCCTCAGATGACTCCGACAGATCTCGTGTCATCCAGACTAAACAGAAAAACGTTTCGGCTTTCCCTCCCCGCCGCCTCACGCCATCTGATATCAGCACCGAGCCCTCGAGGGAGGAGCTGCTTGTTTTGGCTCTCGTGATGGTGTGACGGGATCCTGCCTAATAAAAGTACTTATAAAGTTTACCTGAAGTACATGATGTAAAAGTACTTCCTCACAGGTTACATTAAAGCGCACAGAATGGAAGTATTTGAAAGAAAGTAAATGTCCTTTTCCCACTGGTGAAACACGAACGTCTGGTCCTCACAAAGATAGAAAGACATGCACGCGTGTGAGTGGATCAGTGCGAACTATGAACTGTGATGACGTTTATGCATTACGGGGACATTAGAGCACTGTGAGGGCTTTTTGTACAGGGCTGCTGAAAATGGGTTTTAGGAGTCAAATGAGAGGGCTTGTGTGTGTGTGTGTGTGTGTGTGTGTGTGTGTGTGTGTGTGTGTGTGTGTGTGTGCACACTGACCCGAGCAGGTTGCGGTTGGACTCTGAGGCCGTCGACGCTGCAGCGGAGCAGAGTGAAGGACAGGAGGCCGGGGAGCAGCAAACAGAAGCAGAACTGCATCTGAAACGATCAGTCAGGTAAACGTAATGCTTCAATGAACTGGCATAAAGGACCTCAAAAACACAGAGTAGTTACATTACTATCTAACTTACAGTTTTACCTTTTCTCTTCTGCATAAGCATGTAATGAGTGGCTAAGCAACTTATGGCAGCTCCTGATAAACATGGCATTTACGATAAGTTTCAGTCCGGTTTTCGTCGATTTCACTCCACGGAGACAGCTCTTCTTAGGGTCTCAAGCGATATCTTGATGAATAATGATGCAGGAAAGTGCTCTGTTCTACTCATGTTGGACCTCACATCAGCTTTCGACACAGCTGACCTCATTGAAAGGCTGAAAAATTGGGTTGGTGTATCTGGAACTGCCTTGGAGTGGTTCTCCTCTTATCTCCATCCATCTTCTGTATAGTTTTTCATATTTATATCCTGTACATAGCTTGTACTCACTACAGCCTGTACATACTTATAGTTATAGAATATTCACAACATGCTTCATACCGTGTACATTATAACATACCATAATAGACCCATTTCTGTAATATACTCACATATCTATTTATTACTAATATATATTGTAATATATCTATATCACTAAAGCACTTCTGGATGGATGCAAACTGCATTTCGTTGCCCTGTACCTGTGCATGTGCAATGACAATAAAGTTGAATTCTATTCTATTCTATTCTATTCTATTCTATCACCGATCCTTTTCTGTGGCGGTCTCCGATTTTAGGTCATCCTCTACCTCCCTCACTTATGGTGTCCCTCAAGGGTCAGTTTTGGGACCTTTATTGTTTTTAATATATCTTCTCCCCCTCCGGCATGTAATGGGCTCTTCTGAGGACATTTCTTATCACTGTTATGCTGATGATATTCAGTTGTATGTTTCTTTTAAGCCCCAGGATTTATCTAAGCTTCAGCGTCTGAATGATTGCTTAGATTTGATCAAACGTTGGATGGCTGCAAATTTCCTCCAACTCAACGAGGGGAAAACCGAAGTCCTCGTATGCGCCCCTGATAGGTTTCTATCGCAGATAGTGAAAGCCCTCGGTCCTCTCTCACTTTATGTTAAATCCTCTATCAGGAATTTAGGTGTTGAAATCTCTGGTTCGGTCTTGTTTTTATCATTTAAGAAATGTGGCTAAGCTGAGCCCGATTTTATCTCGCTCTGAACTGGAGATTGCTATACATGCATTTATGTCGTCATGCTTGGATTATTGTAATTTGCTGTTTATGTGTCTAAGCAAAGGTTCTCTGGATCGTCTGCAGGTTGTGCAAAACGCTGCAGCGCGACTTTTGACAAAATCCTGCAAGTACTCACATGTGACACTGTTGTTATCTCAGTTACACTGGCTTCCTGTTACATTTAGAGTCAATTTTAAGATCCTGGTCTTGACCTACAGAGCTGTGCACGGACTGGCACCAGCCTACATCTCTGATCTGCTACAGCCCGATGGCCCCAGCAGGTCTTTGAGGTCATCTGATCAGGGCTTACCTGCTTTAAAAATACTAAGAGGAGGACTCAGGGTGACAGAGCTTTTGCCACTGTGGCCCCCAGACTGTGGACCTCTCCCCCAAACATTAAGAACTGTGGACTCAGCAGCTGTTTTTAAAAAGCAACTCAAAACTTACCTTTTTAAAACTGCTTTTGGTTAATTTGCCTGTTTTATTTTCTCTTTTTAAATCTTTTTATGACTTGTAATCTTATGTGCAGCACTTTGTGATTCTGTCTTGAAAGGTGCTATATAAATAAACATTTATTTATTTATTTATTTAAAACCAGCTCAGCTGCAGCGTTAACGTGATCGAAACATTCTCCTCCACATTTGAGTGTGAGTGATGTCATGTGCACATGTCCATCTTTTGTTTACAGAGTGTGGTTTTTCACAAAGACGTTAATGACGGCTCTGTGACATCAGCAGAAAGAGCTCAGTCTGACAGTTTCAGGCCCCCCAAACCGGGTCTGACCTCTCAGAGGAACCGAAGCGTCCTCACAACAATGGTTTTAAATACACACACATGAGGAGGGGGGCACTTTTAGCTCGGCTGATGGCTGTAAGTGTATTGTCCAGCAACATCGGCTAATTTTAGCATTTTCCATCCCTGCAAATAAACGCCTTTTTGACCGTCACATGCACACTCACTGACACTCCTGCACACACACTCACACACTCACACACAGTGTCCCCTGCAAGCAGACACGCAGAAACAAACACTTGTTGTCGTGTTGCGTCACTCACATACATTCCTGACGATGCACAAAGGTTTGTGCACGCTCCTGTTCACACCTGCTGCTGATGCTGAGGAGCTGCAGCTCTCTCATTCATGCACGTGTGAGGACAAACACACACACACACTCTTACACTGCAAATCCTTCCATTCACAAAAATCTTCTTGCAGCCCAGCAGCAGACTGAACATCAGCATCACATTTTTTAGACTTCCTCTGAGAAGAGAGTTCTCGTTCATCTCCAGGTCTTATTTTCAGTGCTAAACGCTGCTCGTGTGAAGATTTAAAGACATATTTAATTCATGTTCACCTGTCCAAGTCTCTGTTTTCTTAGCCAGAAATCATAAATGAGATCATGCACACAGGTTTTCAGTTTCACAGAAAGTTGGCAGAAAGAATCAAAGATGACAAAAAGAAGCAGCAAACAACTCACACACAGAAAACTGCGAGCAGAAAACTTCAACTCTGAAAGGAATTTAAATTTAAATAGAAAATGTTGGGAAGTGGCATTAATTTGCACCTGTGCACACCTGTGTCTCTCTCTCACACACACACACATGCATGTTTGTACCTTCAGTGTGGAGCTGATCTCTGCTGCGTTGCCTCGCTCTGTTTCTGTGTCTTCTTCTGGCTTCACACATCAAGTTTTATTGCAGCTGCCTGGGAATCTCCTATCCAATCAGCAGCCTCTGCTCCAGTGGCATCACTTCCTGTTCTTCTTTTCCACCATCATGTGTGTAAGATGTCATCATTAGGTCCATTACCTGTTAATGAAAGCTCCTGGGAGCAATCACGCCTCCCTCCGTCCTCCCCGCTCTCAGTTTCCTCCTGAAGGTCAGTTTTTAAAATAAACACATTCAGACTCGTCTCTGTTCTCCAACTGCACCATCCGTGTGCTCCGATCGCACTCCACACGAGACATCAGATCTCTCCCAGAGAAACATTAAATGTCTGCAACCTGAGTGGGTCTGCAGGTTCACCGAGACAGACTTTGGAAGTGCAAGAAACAGAAAGCAAACACGAGAATGGGCCGCCAATGAAACTGTGCATAAAGTTAACCACTGCTGCAAAACAATGGCAAAAAGAGACAAAACTCCCACCAAGACACACAAAGCGAAGTCAAAAGATGTAGCAAGGCAACAACAAAATGAGCACAAAGATGCAAACAAAGAGAAAATGACAACAAACGTCAAAGACATGAATAGTTACTAAATAACAATAAAAAGTAACAACAGAGATGCAAAAATAAGAAAAAAAGATACAAATAGTTTTGAAACCAAACAATTTGTAGTTCGTTTGCATCACAAATAACAACAAAGAAACACAAAGTGATACAAAAAACAACAAAACCCAAACTTCTGTCAGACTCTTTGATGAGTAACAGAAACAAGCTGCTGCCACACTGACTGATGCAGTTATGTTTACAGTATTAATAATAAAGAGAAGCCATCTTGGACAGGAAGTGGCTGCAGAAGTAGAACCAATCACATTCCTCTGCTGGCGTGCAGTTTCGTGACAGGAGTATCGTGTCAAAGTTAGGATGAGGTCATACGGCGACATGTTTTTCTGTCCTGCCGTGAACTCGAAGTTGATCCCCATCTTCTTTGTGTTTCTGTTGCTATGGCGACAGGGCTCTCTCCCACTTATCCTCTCGGGATCGTACGACCTCCGTTCCACCCATCCGTCCGTTCGGGATGGAGAATTTGGTCATTGAGAAAACACACCTGGGTTAATAACGGTAATGACACTCCAGCTAATATGCTAATAATAAGCCCACCATCCCCCAACCAATCACCCTTTAATTAGTCCACGGCCTTCTCTGCTCGAGGTGATGTCATCGTAGCACTCGTTTTTTTCTTCCTGTTGCCCTTTCAGCAGCACACACAAGTCTAAATACAGGAGCCTGTAAGTCTGCAGTGCTGTGAATAACTGAGCCCACAGAACCTGCTTAAGCACCAATAACCTGAAATAAAAGTAAAGTGTGGCTCTATGTGTCTGTTGCATTATGGTTGAGGACTTCTGGTCCACTCGTCTTCACAGTGTTGCTTCAGTTCATTGACATGTGCAGCATTTATCCATGCATAGCTCTCTGAGCTCTGCAGCACTTTTCTTTTTCAGCCGTTCTGTTGGAGATCTGTTGCTGTGCTTGGATCATTGTCCTGTTCATGGTCAGAGCTTTAGCTGTGGGACAGACAGGCTCACACTGGTATACAGAGGAGTTCATGGTCCACTTAGGGACTGTGAGGTGCCTGAAATGTTGGTTTTGTGCTTTATGGATTTACAAAAGAGCCATATTTGTTCGCTCTATCTCTAACCGTGCCGTCATGAACTTTAACCTTTAACATGCTAACTGAGACCTGTATAGTACGAGATGGAGCTTTTGGGTTTGGTAGGGTGACTTTGCTGAGACCACTGGTGGGAAGATTGTGGAATTGTGTTATCACACCTAAATCCACCCGAGGTGGTTTTAATTCCTATAGAAGCAGTGAAGGTGTTCTTAGTTTTCCACCGGACTGCACAGAGTCCCATCTTCTGTGGCGGTTCTGTGAAGTCAAACCAGGTCCAATACCAAACTGGATCTGAATGAGCAGACGCTGTAACCAATTTTATTTTCTTTAAATTATTGAATGAAAAACAAATAGTCACAAAATTGTGTTATGAGCCAGTTAAAACAAAAGTTAACTATGATTTTCTAGCAATGATGTTATGGTTAGCCAAGCTAGCCGACTAACCTTAATGTTCTCTGTTTCCGTCGAAGCCTGTGATAGATTTAGTTTCTGTCCTCATGTGCAGTTTGTGTTGGAGTCTGTGTTGTGCTGGGAGAACAGCGTCTGGTGTTTAGTGGTGTTATGGCCCTTTAACACAGGCAGTAGCATACGCTGTGCTAACTGCTAGCTTCATTGTTTGTGTGATTTTTTATCGCCCACTAATAAGACACAACCCCTGTCTAAACTACACACTTTGCCTACCTAAATACAAGAAGCTACTTTACTGTCTAAACAAACCTGGCATGCTCAAGTTTGTCTAAACATGTTTGCTACATGCCTGAAAAGGCCTTTAGCATCCAACTCTATTTCTACGCTAAAGTTAGCTAGCATTTCTTGGAGTGTTTCAAGTGTGACTCCATCACAGTGGATCTGTGTCGCAGTTATTTTACTGATTTTGTGGTGTGATGTCCGAGTGCTGGTTATTTGAATGCTCATATAACTTATTGTCGGTTGAGCTGCTGTTCTTGTACGTTACGTGGAAACAGTTAGGCGCTGTCAGCTGATTCACTTGGCTGAACGGGAATCAGGAGCGGTTAAACTAACAGGAACATTTAAAGGTGAGAAATAAGTGACGCTTCAGGTGAGTCATTGTTTGCCCTTTTTGGACCGTTCATCAGTAACGTCACCCTGGCAACAGAGACAACACAGTTACCTGCAGCAAGGGTCAGGGAGCGGGCTTGTGGAGCCAACATGGCTGACGAAACGCCTGGGCAAAGCAGCATCATGCCAAGAATTCAGTTGTCACAAATGTAATTAAAAAGGTTATTAGCAAATCAGGTCAGCTGACGTATTCAAAGCCTGACTCGCGATGGTGACGCCGCATCAAAGCTCTTTAGTTTGTTCACAATCAGCTGTTGAAATCTGTCCATCAAAGCAGCAGCCTGACAATGTCCACTAGAGTCCGTCCCCATACACACCCATGTAAAAAATATTTAAAATGTTCAAACTTTACAGCAGAAATTACCTGAGTAAACACACACTTATTGTGTTTTTTTTTTTTAAATAACTCAGCCATGTGGAGTCTTAAAGGTAGAAGATGGATGCTGAACAACACAAGGACCTCCAAAAAGTTGATTCTGTTCATCTGGACGTAGCATTTTGTGGGAGAAACGTTTTGCCACTCATCCAAGTGACGTCTTCAGTCTCAGCTGACTGCAGGTTTCTTCAATCTCATAAACAGAACATTTGCATAATGACTGAAACCAGCCCACTGAGGAACAATGGGCTGGGAGGTCAGTTCCTTAATCTTAATTATGCAAATTCTCATGACCATTGATCAACAACCACTGACCAAAACCACCAAAACTGACCAAACCATCAAAGCCCACAACAACGTTTCTTACACTCAATTACTGCTTTGTATGATTCACAAATCAAAATAATCATTACTTTATAGAATCATATACCAGTCCTCTCAGTTCATCCTCTGTCTCAAATGAGCAGTTTTAGCTCGTCTTTAAGGTAATGCTCTTCTGATTGGATGCCCCTCATAAACTAAAAGCTTGGTGGGTGGAGCTTCAGTGCCCACCGGCCATATTAGGGATGTGACCTCTATATGACATCAGCGATAAACTGACTGTTTACAGCCGTCTGAGCTCTTTATTAGAAACTTTGGCCATGTGGAACATGAGCAGGAGATGTTTATAACAGGAAACAAGGAGAAGCAGAACAGGCCCATGGTCACATGTCTGATGAACCTTTGCAGGTTTAAGTGTTTCGACTGCTGATGTGGTGGTGGTGTAGCTAAGAGCAGCTCCTGGATTGGTAAACTCCTGTGATGAGAGTTTTGTGTGTCTTTGTTTTGGTGTCTGACTACCTTCAGACCTCCCGATAACCTTCAGAGCAGATCCACACAGAGCCGCGGCTCAGCTTTCACTGTGAGAGCTGACTGAGTAAACAGTGAGATCCAGGAAAGCCGGAGGCGTGAGACCGAGGACGGCAGGGAATATCCAGGGGGAATCCTACCGGCTTGATTTGGCCCAGAGAAGCTTCACTCACAAGATCTGAGTCATCCGATCCATGAATCATCAGCTGGAGCTTTACGCCGTTACCGCAGAGTCAGCAGGACGGCGGACCGACGGGACAGAAAATCCTGCAGGGAGACAAATGAGCAACACTTTCTTTTCCGCTCTGAGAACTCTAATCTCCTTTAAGGGGACAGTTGGCGAAGCACAGACTCAGCTCTGCTTTTTTATGGAGGGAAGTGAGAGCAGCCACCGGTGCCTGAATAACAGCTGAAGGTTGCAGGATATTTACCAGGCTTGGGCTAAAGACGGGAGGACTCGGCACAGAGCTGGGAAACACAAAAGTTCAAGTACAAAAACGAGTCTAAGTTTCAAAAGCTGAAGAGCTCAGCAGACATGTCTCAAACAGCAGTCCAAAAACAAAACAGTGCTTAGCCAGTGAACAAACCCGGATAATCTTAAAATGAGCAAAATTCACAAAATGAATAGAACAGAAGGCCTTTGTTAATGTACAGGTGAACGACGCAATGTGAAGCATCTCTCAGAGCGGTGCAGACATCATGAATCTATATGAATGGAAATAAGAGTTAACATGAGTTGAAATACACGCACATGTATCTTGTAGTCTCTAGTAGTACTGCAGTGTTTAGAGTTTGGACCAAAGTTTTTCTGTCGTCTGAAGGTTTCGGTACGACAGCTCTCAGAGAGACTTTCCTGTGTTCGCAGAGCGAGGGTCGTTTTTATACAGCAAGCCTGTTTAACCAGATGAGTCGCCCCCTGCTGGCTGTTAAAAGAAGGCACCTTTGTGTTAGCTTCACTTTGGCATCTTTTATACTGTCTCTGTTTGCAAAGAAGAAAACATTGTTCACATTATTGCAATAAAGAAGTTACAGG